GTTTTCCATCCAACAGGATTTCCCCACTGCTGGGTTCATAGAATCTCTCCAGTAGAGACACGCAGGTGGTTTTACCGCCTCCAGAGGGACCAACTAGAGCCGTAATGCTGCCAGAAGGAAGCTTAAAGGAGATGTCCTGTTACAGGGAGAAAAAGTGAAATTGAGAATTGATAAAGTGATCATTCGCAAATTATAGCTAATTAAATGGAGCTAGAGATCGATAACCAATTAATGGCATGACACAAAGTGAATGCTGGAGAGAAGAATAATCTGTGGATTATCAGAGCTGATCCCCATGTACCAAGATCGCTAGAGAGTAGAGTTGAGCGAACCTGAACTGTAAAGTTTGGGTTCGTATCGAACATTAGGATTTTTGGACCCCGGACCCAAACAAGGACATTTCAGTGTATTCAGGGTTCGAGTTCGTTGTTCGTCGATTTAATGGCACGTTTTGAAAGGCTGCAGGGCAGCCAATCAACAATTGTTAGACTCGTGTGCCCTTAGAAGCCATCACAGCCATGCCTGCTAATGGCATGGCTGTGATTGGCCAGTGCAGCATGTGACCCAGCCTCTATATAAGCTAGAGTCACGTAGTGCCGCATGTCACACAAGCTTAGCTGTTATTAGTGTAGGGAGAAGATGCTGCAGTTGTGAGGGACAAATTAGGGAAGAATTTTGCAAACAATTTTTTTTTTGGTGCTAAATAGTACATTTGGGGTGTGCACTGTGCACTTCATATCTGAGAGTCAAATAGAAGTGTTAAATACTGTGGTTACATCTGAGTTTTAAAAAGTCATTTTTTTTGGGTGCTAAATAGTTGGGGTGTGCACTTCAGATCGGTGAGTCAAATAGAACTGAAATACTGCTGTCACATTGCAGTTTTAAAAATTAAATTTTTTTCGGTGCTAAAAAGTACATTAGTCGGGTGCACTTGTAAACATTCTTATTTTTGGGTGCTAAACTGCTAAATAGTACATTTGGGGACTGCAATTCATATCTGAGAGTCAAATAGAAGCGTCAAATACTGCGGTTACAGCGCAGTTGTGAACATTCTTATTTTTTTGGGTGCTAAACTCCTAAATAGTACATTTGGGGACTGCAATTCATATCTGAGAGTCAAATAGACGCGTCAAATACTGCGGTTACAGTGCAATTGTAAACATTCTTAGTTTTTGGGTGCTAAACTGCTAAATATTACATTTGGGGCCTGCACTTCATATGTGAGAGTCAAATAGAACCGTCAAATACTGCAGTTGCAGCGCAGTTATAAACATTCTAATTGTTTTGGTTCTAAATAGTACATTTGGGGTGTGCACTTCATATCTGGTGTATGTGTGCAACACTGGCTAGTTACCGCTTCCCAAGAAAGTGTAAAGACAAATAAATGTTGCCTATGGTGCAGGTAGTATAGAAGGCAAGACTGAGATAAATCATTCGGGTTACGTTTGCCTGTTTACATGTTAATTATCTTAGATCATTAAAATTCAATAATCAATGGAAAAAAACACACTGTCATACAAAAATATGTATTGTAGACAATTTAAAAACAAGACTACAAGTCATGCTATAACAAAATTAAACAAGTTGTAAAATATGTATGGGCCAACCAGTGGCTGTAAAAACAAAGTTTGACTGGTTACATTCATGACCACAAACTCTAATGAACAGGACCTTCATGTTGTGTGTTCTTTTTTTTTTCTTTACTACATCAGCATAAGAGGGAGCAGGATGCAAAAGCGGAGCGTCCCCCCGCGCTCGTCGGAATGTGTTATCTCCAGAATTCCCACAGTTATCCAAGTAACAGATGGAGTGATCAAAGGAAACTGATTTAATGACTCTTAATGAGCCTATTGCAGTTTCAGTGTAGTGGCTGTGCGCGCTTTCGGCGTTCTCACCCTGCTGCAGCGTAACTTCGTCCTTCCCGCTCACCGCCTCATATGTGTACTCCTTCCAATTATAGGGCCTCTAAAGAGTCGTGTATTGTTATTTATCGTCACTACCTCTCCGCGTCGGGAGTGGGTAATTTGCGCGCCTACTGCCTTCCTTGCATGTGGTAGCCCTTTCTCAGGCTCCCTCTCCCGAATTGAACCCCAATTCCCCGTTACCCGTGGTCACCATGGTAGGAGCAGAAAGTGGTATCGAAAGTTGATATGGATGACCTACAAATGCGTTGTTGCGTCTTTGTAATTCTGGGGCAATACCCTCACAAGTCAAACTAAGAGGTCAGTTTATAGGGAAAACTGTTGCCTGGATACAATTTGAAAACAATTTCATTATGTCCTTTGCAGACTTTACATGCTGGCATGTATTATCTCTACAATTCCCACAGTTATCTAAGTAACAGATGTAGCGATCAAAGGAACCATAACTTATTTAATGAGCCATTCGTAGTTTCACAGTCAGGACAACAGACCGGTGACCGGAACCCAGACATAGGCTTGCACCTCCAAAAAGGTCCTGCTTACAATCTCCTCTGAGGGTGGCTCTCGGTAATATCCCAGGTGCCGTTCCACCTCCTTGCGCACTTCCTCCTCATCTCTGGCCCCTGGCTGGGGTTCGTTGCCTCACTGCATGCCTGGTCGTCCTCCATGAGCGCAGCAGTCAATTCTGCCTTGTTACGCCCACCAGGCGTTATTCCTCTGGCTCCACACAAGTCCTGCAGTGTAGATCGCTTTAGAGCACTGTAGTCCATGGGTCTGTTGGCAGGGACATGGGAACCCGCCGCTTGCCACCAATTGAAGCGGGATCTGGGTAACCAATGGTTATCCCCTTTGATTAGAATAGGTCAGACCCATTTCCCCAGTAACCAGATGGAGCACAGTTCAAGGATACAATATTTGAAAATCTTTATTTGGGCACACAGCTTTGCCTCATGTTGCCTCCTCCTCCTACTCCGCTTCTTCCTCCTCCTCCTCATCCGGTCAGTGTAACACCTTCACCACCAACTTCTGCACAGCCAGGGTGAAACGACAGCAGGCTGTTTTAAAAATCAAATGTTTTGGGGAAAACCCAATACCGCGCAGGAGCTGTGGACGGGCATGGAACAACAGACCGATGAGTGGTTATTGGCAGTGAGCCTCAAGCCCGGCCTGATGGTGTGCGATAATGAGCAACATCTCGTAGCAGCGCTGGGCATATGCAGTTTGACGCACATCCCTTGCCTGGCGCATGTGCTGAATTTGGTGGTGCAGAAATTCATGAAAAACTACCCAGATATAATCAGAGCTGCTGCAGAAAGTGCGGGACGCCTATGCGTGCTTTCGGCGTTCTCACCCTGCTGCGCTCGCCTGTCTGCGCTGCAGCTGGAACTTTGGCTTTCCCGCTCACCGCCTCATATGCGACGTGTCCACAAGGTGGAACTCCACCTTGCACATGCTGGAGAGACTGTGCGAGCAGCAGCAGGCGATAGTGGAGTTTCAGCTGTAGCATGCAAGGGTCAGTCGCTCTGCGGAACAGAGTTTTCTTTTTTTATATGTCCCAATATTTTGGGGGCTACCCTAATTTAAAAAAAAACAAATAAACAGTGTTGGCTACCTCCCCCTCCTCCACCGCCGCTTCCACCTACACCGCCACGGTCACCGCCTCCTCAACCTATGGGTCACTTAGTATAAACTATGTACACAATAGCAGAGGCTTGTGAAGGCCTTTTCTCCATGCATCAGGAGTTGAAAAAGAATACCCTGCACTCCAACCCTCTCTCAAATTGATAATTCTGGTGATCCTCCAGACAACTATGCTTTAGATTTTGATTTATGTTCTTCCAAAGCTAAAATCAAAGATTCCATCTAGTGCTATTTTATGTCTCAGCTGTATTTTTTATTTTTATGTATTTTATGTTATTTTAAGTGATTTCCCTATTCACATTTGTTTGCAGGGCACTTGTCCTACTCTTACCCCAATTTTACTTCATTTTGCAGCCCTCTAGCCCTTTCCAGGACTATTTTAGAGGCATTTGTGTGCCCAAAAGTTCGGGTCCCCACTGACTTCAATGGGGTTCGGTGTTCGGGGTCAAGTTCAGGTGATGTTCGATCCCGAACCCGGACTTTTTTTCGAAGTTCGGCCAAACCCGCCAAACCCGAACATCCAGGTGTCCGCTCAACTCTACTAGAGAGCAGAAACTTTAACATGATATCTGGATGTGAAATACAAATATGTTAACAGGGCTTAAGGATTCTATATGGACAATAAAAATATCATTACAGACTGTCACCTTCACAACCTCTATACCGGAGGAGTATACATTACACCCTGACAAGGTCATATGTACCTACTACTTGAGATACCACTCCACTCTTATTTTTCTCCATACTACACTGTCATCAGTTTGTACCCCCTTCCTCATTCTACTACATTCACTTGAGTAACCATGTCCCTAGGGTCTTACCAACCACAGGTGAAAGAAGAAGAAAATAAAAATGCCCAGTGGTAAGAGTACACACATGAATGTTGCTGGCATTTTGTTTATTTGTTACATTTGACTTAAAATGCTTACAATGTGTTTGGCATGTTCCCGAATGTATCTCCCCTTTTTCCTTTCTGTACCCCGATTTCTTAGATGCATAAATTCAATAAACTTCTATTACAAAAAAAAAAGATTATTAAAACTCACTTTGTTGGTAAATATCAATTAAACTTTCCCTCCGCATCCTTTGGTAACCCACCCTGCAACTTTGTCATCCAAAAAAACAAACCCTTTACTGTAAACTATTCTAGCAACCTACTTTTTCCACATTCATGACATATATCCTACTCTTAACTCTTGTGCTACTTTACCCAAATCCGTCTAGAATGCGAGCAGAGCCCTCAACACAGCTGTTTTTTTTGTGGTGGGAGGCAGGAGGGTGTATTCATTGACATATTTGGGTCTGAAAATAATTTAATGCTATGATTTTATGATATTTATAAACATTCTGTAACACTGGAGAACTAAATGTAACAAGCTGTTGCCACACAAACTATCCCTAAAAAGAGTACTCCAGTAAAAAAAATCAAGTTGCTATTACTACTAGTTCACCACTTTGAATGTTTAACTATGTAAAAAAATGGTCTGATTGGTAATATTTAGGCTGTCATGATGTTACAAAGGCTTAACAGATAATTTAAATATAGCCTTAGAAACAGTTGGCAATGAGCTTTCCAGCGTCACCAGTTATGACCAATCTGATTGGGCGGCAAAGCCCCTCTCATCCCTGGGCGCTGATTGGCGCAAATTGGTTTCGTGCCTTTCAGCAGATTGGTGCAATCGGGTTTCACGCCCTGTCACAACAATAGACAAGTCACAAAAATAGACAAAAGCTCAAGGCTCTGTACATCCCCAAAATTACAGTTGCAAGAAAAAGTATGTGAACCCCTTGGAATGCTATGGATTTCTGCACAAATTGGTCATAAAATGTGATCTGATCATCATCTAAGTAGACAATCATAGTCTGCTTAAACTAATAACACACAAAGAATGAAATGTTGCCATGTTTTTATTAAACACACCATGTAAACATTCACAGTGCAGGTGGAAAAAGTATGTGAACCCCTAGACTAATGACATCTCCAAGAGCTAATTGGAGTGAGATGTCAGCCAACTGGAGTCCAATCAATGAGATGAGATTGGAGGTGTTGGTTACAGCTGCCCTGTCCTATAAAAAACACACACCAGTTCTGGGTTTGTTTTTCACAAGAAGCATTGCCTGATGTGAATGATGCCTCGCACAAAAGAGCTCTCAGAAGACCTACGATTAAGAATTGTTGACTTGCATAAAGCTGGAAAGGGTTATAAAAGTATCTCCAAAAGCCTTGCTGTTCATCAGTCCATGGTAAGACAAATTGTCTATAAATGGAGAACGTTGAGCACTGCTGCTATTCTCCGTAGGAGTGGCCATCCTGTAAAGATGACTGCAAGAGCACAGTGCAGACTGCTCAGTGAAGTGAAGAAGAATCCTAGAGTGTCAGCTAAAGACTTACAAAAGTCACTGGCAAATGCTAACATCCCTGTTAGCGAATCTACAATACGTAAAACACTAAACAAGAATGGATTTAATGGGAGGATACCACAGAGGAAGCCACTGCTGTCCAAACAAAACATTGCTGCATGTTTACAATTTGCACAAGAGCACCTTGATGTTCCACAGCAGTACTGGCAAAATATTCTGTGGACAGATGAAACCAAAGTTGAGTTGTTTGGAAGACACACAAAACAGTATGTGTGGCGAAAAAGAGGAACAGCACACCAACATCAAAACCTCATCCCAGTTGTGAAGTATGGTGGTGGTAGCATCATGGTTTGGGGCTGCTTTGCTGCATCAGGGCCTGGATGGATGGCTATCATCGAAGGAAAATTGAATTTCCAAGTTTATCAAGACATTTTGCAGGAGAACTTAAGGCCATCTGTCTACCAGCTGAAGCTCAACAGAACTTGGGTTGCAACAGGACAATGACCCAAAGCATAGAAGTAAATCAACAACAGAATGGCTTAAAGAGAAGAAAATACGCCTTCTGAAGTGGCCCAGTCAGAGTCCTGACCCGATTGAGATGCTGTGGCATGACCTAAAGAAAGCGATTCACACCAGACATCCCAAGAATATTGCTGAACTGAAATAGTTCAGTAAAGAGAAATGGTCAAGAATTACTCCTGACCGTTGTGCACGTCTGATCTGCAACTACAGGAAACGTTTGGTTGAAGTTATTGCTGCCAAAGAAGGTTCAACCAGTTATTAAATCCAAGGGTTCACATACCTTTTCCTCCTGCACAGTGAATGTTTACATGGTGTGCAGGGCCGCCACCAGAAATTTTGGGGCCCCTAACTCAGCTCAGGGTCTGGGCCCCCTGGGGCCCGCCTCCAAAATATGCCCACAGGAATACACACACAGACACAAACACACACACTGATACAAAAAGACAGAGATACATACTAACAGGCACACATACTGAAACAGACATACACGCATACAGGCATACATACTGAGACATACACACAGGCATACATAGTGACAGACAGACACATACTAACATACATACAGACACACATGCATGAGGACATAAAGACACATACATACATACAGACACCGACATACATACATACACACACACAGACATACTGACAGACATACAGACACTGTCATCCATACACACATACATTCATAATGGCATACAGACATAAACGGACATACACTCATAATGGCATACAGATGGCTATCTGCAGCCCAGCCCCCTCCTACCTGGGATTGTGTTGTGTTGGATGGTCTATGCATAAAAAGCTGCGTGGCCAAATAAAGATTGTCAAAAGGTTGTACCCTGGAACTGTGTTTTGTCCAGTTACTGTGGCAAATGGGTCTGACCTATTATTAATAAAGGGAATGACCAGCCGGGTTACCCAGGGCCCGCTACACTGCTGAAAGAGGCCACTGCCATCATGGAACAACATGGTCATGAAAGGGTGTATGTGGTCTGCAACAATCTCTAGG